TCAGAACCCTTCATTAGCACAGGCAATAATAAAAATAATTAACGACTATTGCCTAATCGTGCTGAAATGATTGAAACTCACCTCATCTATTTGTGGCCAGCCAACTGCCTCGAGCGCCGGCCCTCGCACCAAATCGGATAGCTGTACGGGATATACAAAGGGTTTAACTGATTCAGCTGATGAATGAGAATGTGGTACATGTGAGGGATCGGGGGCAGAGTGATGAGCTGAAGAAGTAGAAGTAATAGAACTGGATGGCGTCTCGAAGCAGGATTCAACATGCTGCTGCGAAGTGTTTAAGCTAGAGGATGAAGCAGGTATTGTTATAATTGGCGAAACGGTCCAGTGCTGCCAGAGGTTAAAAAGAAGTTGATGCTCCAAGAAAGCAAGATCACCGAGCAAATACTCTCCTGATGAACTGATAATAAGGCAGAGGTAATAGGTATTTTAAAGAGTTATTATATTGTAAAGGTAATTTAGTATATTTATCTTTGGATGCACACAAATACTGTCTCAGATTATTATGGACAAACAAGAGAGATAAATAAATAAAAAATTCTAAGACAAGCAACTATATGTTTAATAACTTTATATGTGACAATAAAAATTATTCCTGACTTCAAAGTTGTTTAACCTGAATTTGAAGAGATGAATTCTTCTACTAAGAAAAGTTTGGTTTTGAGAATTTTCTTGTTTCATAATTGTTGAGCTTACCTCCATTTCGAGTGAAAGTGTTTGGTGAAAATATTCGAAGGTCGATTCCACCAGAAGACGACGGTGGATATCTATTGACCAGCTGTCGATTGGCTTTACTGGCAAATTCATGGAGCTAATGTTTCTGAGTTACTCTCATTCGAATCCGGTGAAAAGGTGCTAAGCTTTCGTCTGTGATATGATGAACATCGTCAGAGTAAGGTATTATCGTCACAACCAAATTCAAGCTAACGAGTGAAGAAAAGGGATTTGCCGGAGAGTTATCTTGACTCATTAGTTTAAATTAGGCTGTGACGATGATACCTTGCTCTGATAATGTTCGTCACATGACGGAAAAAAGCTTAGCACCTTTTCACCGGAATCAAAGGAGATTACCTCGGAAACAGCGTCAGCATGAATGTTCCAGTAAAGCCAATAGACAGCTAATAAAGAGAAATCCGCCGTCGTCTTCTGGTGGAATCGACCTTCGAATATCTTCACCAAACACTTGCATTCGAAATGGAAGTAAACTCAACAATTATGAATTCTTATAACGAATAATACTTATATAACATTAGTGATGAAATTACCTAAAATGGATATACCTATTATAGAAATAAGGAATTTAATTTAAAATACGTAGAACAGTTACTATTAGGCAATAAAAGTAAATAGATACAAAGAGTAATTGGGTTTCGATGAAACTACTGAAATAACAATGTTGCAGAGATTATCATTTAATGTGAAGGTGCATGAAGAAGAGATTCCAAAGTAGATCTTACCAGAAGAGGAAGGCTAATTCACGTTGTACCTCAGCCATTTGGCTTTACTATGACGTTCAGATTACCACATATAATGAAACATCCTAACAAGTTTCTTAATT